TGCTTTGTCAACGAGGGCGCGCGCAACAATGTTACACGGGCACTGGTCACTATGATGAGCATGTTTAGTCGGGTCTCAGCACATGATATGCTAACAACTGGCTCTATCACTGTGGATACACCACTTTCCCTCAAGAAACCCAACTTCTACACGGAAGTCAATGCCAGCAGCTGTAAGACGGAGCTTGTGGCCCTTAGAGAGGAATGCCTTCAAATGACAATCCTGAGTGTTAAGAAATGAATAGCCTGAAATGTTACATTAATTTTACAACATTTAAATGTATGTTCTCTCAAGCTAGTACTGTGAAAACTGTGCTTAACAGGGTAAATAAAAATGTGTATTTTATTAAGTTTAACCCCTTCCATTGTAGGGAGAATAAATCTGAGAAAATGTCTGACTTGCATTATTAATGTTATTGCCACATTTTCTAATTAGAAAATAACTTGAAGACATTCTGCTGAAAATTCAGCAATTTACCTGCTCTTCTGATTGCATGCTGGTGTATCACATGCTGTCTAGGTCAGACACTTCATTCTCAAGTTGGTTGTCTGACAACGTTTTACTTGGGAAGTCTTAGTTTTATCTACATTAACCATATATTTTTCAAGAAGTACTATATTCCCATATGCATCCTCATTTATAAAGTTTTAAAGTCGACTAAGATGTGTATATATAGGTATATATATACATACCTGTATATAACAGGGTAGATTAGAATATATATATTCTAATCAAGGGCACACATTGTTGATAAAGTGCAGAAAAATTAAATCCATCATAGAAACTGGCTGTATCACTAAAACAACTGACAAATGCATTTTTTTGCAATATTGTAACTCACTTGTTTAAGTATTTGAAAATATGTAAATAGTATAAAATTCTCAGGTTTAAGAAATTGCCAATATAATTACATATTTCTCTGTTTTATATTATTGTACCAGCTTGCAAAGTTAATGTATCACATAAAGTTTCAACATGGCAATATGGATATATGATGATGTCACAGATGAAATAAAAATTCAATAAACTAAACTAATGCAGAAAGCCTAACTGGCAGCAGTCAATACTAATAAATCTGAATTCGTATTCTTTATAATGAATGATGGTATTGTGGTATTAATAAAATGCACACTTGTAAGATGCCACTTTATGTATTTATATATGATTTAAAATCTGGGAAAATATATAATATATTCAGAGAAGTTTATATTTAATTCGTAGTGATAACTGCTGTACTCAAAATTAACCAAACTGAATTAATACTACTATTATTATTTTAATTCCAGTATATTAAAGCACATTTGAGCTCTAAAAGATACAGTCTGTATATGTCTGTATAGGAGAAATTCAGCATGTACATAGGAACTGTTGTGTTTAATCACAAACCAGCAAACCACACAATGTAAAAATGACTGAATCATTGATGAGTGACCTGTTGGATGACAAGAATATGATCGCTAGAAGTACCAGAAAATTAACCAGGCAAGTGGTTCTTGGAAGCTATTAATAAATCATTAGTGTCTGCATCAACTACTGACAATATGTGAATTTTGATTAGGTTACCTTGAGTCAGTCATCTGCATCATCTAAAATTCTATGTACACACCAATTCCACCCCTGTGTAAGTATAGGAAACTTGATTGGGTTGAAGAATTTGACTCTTTGCTCTGTTTGCAGGCACACACAATTACAAGCCAGACCCCCCCCCCCCCACACACCCTTCAGTTGGTAAAATATACCAAGATAGACTTAACAGTAGAGTTGCTGGACACCCCATGAAATTTAATTCTAGTTGCAGCACTGGTCGGCACTCCATTTGGGTTATTTTGTGTAATAAAATTTTTAGTTTGTTATCATTAGAAGGACAATAGCCAAATATCACTTTTTTAACCAAGTTGCTTGGCTATCTTATAGGTTTAGTATTTTTTTTGTGTGGAAAATGGATAAGGTCATTTGATATGCAGCTCTGTTTATGATAAAGTAGATGGGTGAGTATGGCCTGCATAACAACTACTGTGATAATTAAAATAATTTAATCAATTAAAGATACAAGTACAAAAGTCTACTCAGCCAGAAGGAGTTTTGCGTACAGTTCTCTGCTAGGTTATACCTGGGAAAGTTCATCTAATCTATTTTTAAAAAAGTAAAAATAAAATACTAAATCATACTGCAAAAGAATGAATTCTGTCTGAAAATTTCAACTTTTAAAATGTCCTGCATCTCTAGGCAGTTTCCACCAGCTTTAAAACAACATTCAATAGAACAAAAATAATCCTCTTCTCTGTTATTGATAAATGCCTATAAGATGATCTCGGGGGAAGGAAAAATTGTGGCAGGACATTACTGATCTAAATAATTAAGGCAGATTACAGCTTAAACTCAAATCTCTAGATTTTTAAATTGATTATTCATGAATATCTGATATATAAGCAGGTTGTTTGAGATTTATTCATTTATTTCCACTTCAGGAATTCCTGAACCTCTTGAAAGATTAAGATTTCAAATGCTTTACTTCTTGACCCTTACGTAATATTAAAGGTCTTATCTGTTTTTCTTGTCATTTGTATAAGGAGATCAAAAGATAATTTACCCTTTATAATGATATACGTACTATTTTGTGCATCACATACACTTTAAGACTTTAAATGGACCCTCAAGACCTACCCTCCAATAAATAACTGACAGTTTTATATAAAGACGCAGTAGAAGACTTTTGTCAGCACTCACCAGAAGTAGGTCTACGTATGGAATCTGGACCTGGACCATTAGTTTGTTTATGTAAGAACATAAGAAATTTACAAACGAGAGGAGGCCATTCGGCCCATCAAGCTCGTTTGGGGTCATAGTTGTGGGTCATGATACAAAATAGCTGGCGTGAAATTTTACTTCCACGTCACATTACGCAAGTAAGACCACAGAGAATATTATGAAATATATTTGTTGTGTTGATTCATACATACATTTTAAATAAAAGAAACTTATTTCAATGTATCTCAGTCTGAGCTGTGCATGTGGCCTCAATTACTGGATTAACCTGAGGTTACAATTACACAGGTTACATTTATAACTGTAATACAGTCTTTACTTTTCTACACTTCTACAACTGTCTCATTTGTGAAATAAAGAAGTGAGTGTTTTTCAGATGGAGTGGTAAAATTAGGATCTATAATATATCATTCTTGGTGAGGTAATATGCAATTAGACTGTTCTTTTGTATTTACTGCTGAAGCTTATTAATAAATGCATTTTCATGTCATGACAGAACATTTAACTCATCGTCTCATTTTCTTCCTTCTCGCATGATTGGTATGCTTGTCTTTTGACTTTTGTGCTTGTGTTACTAAGTATACAGTTTATCTTAAATATGCCGTGGTATTTAATCATTTCCGTGAACTCTCAACACAAGGAGCACTATTGACCTAAGTATTGTATAATCATTGTATATGTTAGGTTGTAGATTTTCCCACAGAATTCCAAACAAACAAAAAAAAATACTGATACAACAAATCATTATAAGCAGGAAAGTAAAATTTATATCATTGATTCTCCCATAAAATAGTTCCTTAGATATTGTCTTTATATCATACATACAGGGACTCAGTAGGGGCATGGATGGCCCGGCAGGATCAGAGATCCCAGCACTTTACAGGGGCCTTTGGATACATAAAATCATAAAATGTTATAATGTATGTCTGGGCAGGCATGGGGGGTCAAGGTGACATTTTGTCAGGGTGCACAGAATTTCTAGCTACTCCGCTGCCTGTACAGTATATTTATGTTTGGTAGTGGTGAAAACTTTTGGCAGTTTTCATTATTATTATTATTTGAATGTAATGAAATCCTGTTCATACTAATTAATACATACTTAGTTTATACTAATGTGTGTATATTGCCATGATGACACTGGAATGAGAAAAATACTGAAAGCTTTGTGTGTTTTTTTAATTCCCAAAGACTTGCAATTCAAACCAGTGGACAGAACCGTGTCCATTTAGGGTGCATTTAGACCGATTCCTTTCAAGCAAAGTATCTCTAGTGACCTCTGGGGACTATTTATATAAATATCTGTCCTCTGCCAAATGTGCTGTTTGGATTTTTCCTCAGACTTCAAAGACATAAATTTCTGAGTCACTGTCTCATAGCTTGCATCTTACTGAAAGTTGCATCTCCTTCAATTTTTAACTGTCATTCATTTGTTTGTACCATACAGGTTTCACAACTGCAGACACTTGAAATATGCAATCTATATTTGAAAAGATAAGTATATTCTTGTGCATAAGCTATTTTTAGGAACACAGTTTTCACTATTAAAATAAAAGGTGAGACTTCATTTTCCTTTAAGACTGTCAATAACCTACCATTTAATTAAACTCTTGTTTTAAACTGAAACACTTAAGTTTGAATCCTAAATAATTTTGATTTATTTTTCACAGTAAATAATCCTTCATTCTCAAAGTAAATTAATAGATAATGTTCACATGCTGAGTAAACTGCTATTCCATTATGATTATCAGTTATACATTTACGAATTTTTCCAGTTTTATTACATTGTACAAATTGGTTGCAAATGGTTTCATTATGAGTTATCTATTTATGCAAGTAATACACAGTATGTTACCACCGAAATAGGTGTTCATTGGTGAAGTTGGGCAATTATTTCCCACATATATGTTATGTTAATAAGGTTTAATGTAATGTAATGACTAAACAGGAATATATTTTTTTATTATATTAACCGTTTCATCATTAACCATCTCAGCCACCATTTTAAAACCTTTGTTTACAGCTTCTCTTCCGGCCAGTTTACGAAGAGCATCCGTACGCGAAAACTGTATTATTTCGTAAGCAAATATCACTGTCCTTTCGTCACTGTTGTCGCTACCTGGTTTTTGCATACGCACTCGGGCTATAGCCGTGACAAATGTGATATGATGTACGCATGCGTTAAATGGTGCGCAAGCGCAGCGCAAATCGGACAGGGAACGCAGTCTACGCAGATCGGGTCAGTAGGGTCGTTTTTTGCTCTACCCTCCTGTACAGTAGGTGGCAGTAAACGCAAAAAGTGAATCACAGGAACACGTGGTTGTAACTAGAGTTCTGGTAAAAGGCATCTTTGCAGTATTTTTGTAAAGGGAGCATTTGTACATGCAGTGTTTGTTATATAAAATATGTCAGTAAAATTGAAAGATGTGTCGTCTTCCAGTGGAGCAGAGTCGGATTCTGAAACGACTGAGAAAGAGAAAAAGCTAAGTAAGTTAAAGTGGATTATTCGTTTAGTATTGATATTGGTTTTGGTATTAACTACCACTAGCAGCAGTATTTATAAGGCTGCAGAAAACAAGTAATCTATGGGTGATAGTTTGGTAGACGCATAGAAAATTGATGTCATCCGCCTGGCGTATTTATGGTGTACAAAGGTACGTGGTATTTTCTGACTTACTCTGTTTTTGTTATAGGTACCAAATACCGTTGCCCCAGCGATTTCGTGCCCTGTACCTACCGGCCATGTGAAAACATTCGACTAGATAATCTTAATGACAACTGTACAGAATTATGGCTCATCAAAGCCCCATTCAGTTTCAGTCCAAACAGGTAAGACTCAATACGGCAATAACTAATACACACAAAAAGGACAGATCACATGTGTGACAACTTCTCTAAACATACAGTATTAGCAAACGGGACACTACAGATTCGTAATACGAAAATGAACACAGCACAGTAATGTTTTTAATGATAAGTTATGTATTTTACTTTTTAAAAACAAAATTTGTTAATTGATTCATGTTTTCCAGAGAGACAAATGAAGGAAATCCTATGAATTCTAAATAAGTAGGTATAAGTGTAGGGAACTAAATGCATCATAGTGATGCATGCAACTCTTTGAAGAGTTTAATCTTAATACAAATTAATTATAATTCATGTGTGTTGACTTTTTTGCTACCTCAGTTGAATATTGCAGTCAAAAGAACAGCAATATCAGTGTTGAACAATTAATCTCCATTGTATCAGCTTCACATAGTATGCAGTGTGACAACAATGACAACGATGATTCATGGATTAGCCTGTCGTTGATGGTATTTTTGATTTAATAAAGAGGGATGCTGTACCCCCAAGAATTGTATATTGAAAAATGCCCTTGAATAAATACATGGTGATGGAATTAGTAAGGAATGATAATTGGAGGCGTGATTCGTGAACAAGTTTCTCATAACCAGATACTTTTGTTCACAACTATGTCCATCCAAAAACGACCCCATCAAACAAAAACATCTAACTTGTCCAAAAATTATAAGGTCATAGCTGTTTGTGTTGATTAAGTGAACTAACATTTAATATCAGAAAGATTTCCTGCTGTTGTTGCAAATGCACCAAAGACACATTTTACACTCCCTAATCACATCTAGTTGCAATGCTTTGTAAATAATCAAACACTATAGTACAGTTACATGTTTTCTTTAAAATCTCATATATAAAAATTTTATTTATGTATCGTGCATCTTTGTTTTAAAATATCTTAGAATGGATTTATTTTAATAAAGTGAGCTCTGATGGTATGTCTTTTTTATTTATATATATATTTATCTTTTTGAAGTTTCTCTGATTTGAAGATTCCTCTAAGGGGCTCAAAGTCTCTCCAGGCTGAGAGTCAGAAGATGGAAACCTACAGAATTCTAAGCAATACTGTTGGTACTAGATCAATGCACCTCCTTTCAGCTTGTGGCATGCAAGATGGCATTGTCTGTGGACCAACTATTTCTGGACTCATCAACATATGTGAGGACAGTGGGGATATTCTCAGTAACCAAATGATCACGCCTCTCCCAGCATCTCCAGCACCTAGCATACCTGAGGGTTTGAAGCAACGCTTCACTCCCTTTGGGTGCACAAGTCCTCCAACCCCGACCACAAGAAGAGACAAGGGCAACACTTCTCATGGTAGATCGTCCAGCAAAAGGGCAAAAAAGGACTTGGAGGAAACGGAAAATAGAAAAAGCAAGAAAAAGATTAAGTCAAATATCAAAATGGAGGAGGAAGAAGGTCAAATGGATGTGCATCAGAATCTGTCCTGTGAGGCAGTAACAAAGAAAAAGAAGAAAAAGGGTAAAGAAAAGGACAAAAAGAAAGAGAGGCTGAGCATAAAGGAAGAACCCGAAATAAAAACTGAGCCTGAACAATATGCATAATGTACAGAAATGTTTGATACTTAAAACATGTCAAGCGGTTCATATATTTAGAAGATGTAATTTTATGTAAAATGTATTGAATGAAGATTAAAAAACTCTGATGATAAAAACATTTAATCTGATTCTATGGTGTGTTTGTACTGGTGGTTGCGTTGGTCTATAAAAGCTGATTTGTACTACCGTGTGGAATGTACGCCGTTATTAGCCGCGCAGCCGCGTACCCTTAGACGTAGCTTTCATGGCAGCCGAACTCCTGTAGGTACATTTCTGGGGGGATGTGCCAGGCAGTGATGTGAGGTACGCGGCCACACCGTACCAGTGGTGCCGATTCTACACGGAAGTGTTAATTAGCATTAATACCGAAGAGCGTGTAACTTTTAAAATATAGCTTTTTTTCATTTGAAAAATGATCTTTCCTGACAGAACAATGTGCTTTTTTGAAGAATTTTTATATATATATATTCATTAGCACACAGTTTTAAAATGCGGATTTCATTTGCAAATACTGTGAAGCGCCAGGCTCATGTTAGTTTTAGCTTGGCGCTACAGTTTAGCAGAATGCAGTACACAACAGCTGACAGTAGATGGCAATGTATAGCTATTTTTGCGGCCATTAGAGGATGTATCCTATACCTAAAATTACCTCCAAAGAAAGGAAAATTGCTGCTATTTAAGATTAGGGATTTTTTTTCTCAGAACCTGTTTCAAAATTCACATTGGATAGGGCCTTTTTTATGACCTTTAAACATATAACTAAAAAGAGTAATGACATCCATATAATTTAAATGGTTTAAACAATCAAGGTCATTGATGGAAAAGATATGTTGTGCCTGGTCAGATATTTACAGTATTTAGGCCGTACTGTAAGCTAACAAACAAAACTGGTGTCATTTAAAAATGTGAGCAAAATTATTATATAAAATAAAATATAGAAACATCTGTAATACATTCCAAGTTACTGCTTCAGTTGTTATGCTGAATCAAATTGATTACAAATTGACATGTAATTTGCAGACAATCTATGTTCCATTTTAATTCTGCCTAAAGACCTCTGGTTTGCATGTGAGTAGCCATGATAGGCATTAGAAATTAGATAGATTAGATTATTTGATAGCTAAAGAAGCTGCAATAATTTTGGTATTCCTACAAAATCAGTAAATGCCCAGCACGTCTCTAGCAACCATCGTAAATAAGTATTGTAAAGCATAGTTGCTTGAGTGTTTAGATAGTGTGTGGTTTATTCCAGCAACTACACCATAATCACAGATTATGTCCATGATGCGTTATTTTCTTGAATTGCCAAATATATTAAAGCAAAAATATGTCCTTTCAATTATGACAAAATGTCTTTCCTGATGAACACCGGGCACATTATAAAAACATTTATGGTTTTTCTTCTCATCTGAGATGAATACAGTTCAAAGGAGAATGAGAAAATAGCAATAGGTTACTAGGGAGACTGGCCACCGTGAAGACTGCTTTCTTAACAAATGTCTGACTTGGCTCTTAGAGTCCACATAGCAACAGATTCTTTCTTTGTTAGGGGAGCTATCAGGAATAGGGTCAAAATCCAAGTTTAAAACAAATTACAAACAGCTAACAGTATTTAGCATTTTTTTTTTGCCATTTTAGTGGTACTATACTGATACAACCCAATAACAATTATAACCTGTGAATGGGAAATGCTACTCATGATGGGAATGCACTAAATCTCCCAAGAACTACATTGCTTGTCACTCACTGCATCAGTAACCACCATCTGTTTAAATGTTTTTTTTTTTCTTCACTTTGTAGAGGTCACAATGGAGGCTCTAGAAAAGTTTAATTTTATGGAAATTCTGCCGCGTCCAACATAACAGCATAACACAGAAATGAATTTGGATGCTCACCTCAAACCACAAATTTGTCTTATTAGATTGTGGAAATGCTTCATTTTGTCTTGCTCAGTTTCCAGGTTTGGTGCAAATTGGTAACCATGGAAACGCCTTCCTACTTATAACTGGAGTGCAGGTCAAAAGGAGCCCAATTCTGCAGGGTAAAGAATTGCTGCAGAGAAGGGAGCAAGGCTAGGTGAAATTGACTCAAATTTATTAGGCTGCTCCAAATATTTTTCATTTGCATCAATTCAGTTCTTACAGGCCCAATCCTGTCCGATAAACCGGACACATTGTACTCAGCTGCGGCACTGTAATATATCTTGATACCCAGAAAACTGTACATGCTTGACTGAAATATATATTTAAATGACATGCAGAACAATGGCTCAGTGAATCATCGTATGGATAACAGCTAGGCTCTTATTGGAAAAGGGAAGCTGCGCTTTTCAGCTTCTCCTGTCTTTATCCACATGGCTTTATTTTACACGCTAAGTCAAATTACCATGGCTGCTCCTGACAAGCAACGGCAATCAATCCTGGCCATTTCCCAGCAAACAACTTGTACTGGAACCGTATAAAGCCTCTCATAAAAAAATGGGTTAAATAAATATATATTGTATGAATTGTTTATAGATGTTCTCAGAATCAATAACAATAAATTAAGGATTTTAGATAAAGCTTTATGCAAAAGTGAACTAATTTTAATTTTAAAACTCATCTGCAACATGACACTGATTTTCAGTCATTGGCGAGTTCCACACATATAATCGCGTATGTGTGCATATGTGTGTACCAATATTGGGTATAAGCCATTTTTGCCTCTTGAACTGCTTATAGGATACACTTGTTTTACATTTCAAGAAGCCTTTCTGCGCACCACTGTTGTGCTGAGATGTTATTTTTGCATTTGTGGCCTTCCTGTTAGCTGTATTGAGTCTGGTCATTGTCTTTTGACCCCTCTCATTAACAAGATGATTTTGCCCACGGGAATTCTGCTGAGTGTAGGTTTTTTATTTGCACCATCTTCTGTAATCTCCGAACACTGTAAAATCACTGTAAAATCCATGAAAGGTGGCTGTTTCTCAGATGCTGTAAGATCTGAGTCAGTATCTACCAAAAGTGGTCCAAAGAAGGTCAATCAGTGAACTAGTGATGGGGACTTAGGCTCCGAAGCCTCATTGATGCATGACCCCTGACCCCTGTCCATCGCCGGATTGGTCTGATGAGTCCACTTTTCTGTTACATCATGTGGAAGGCCGGGTGCGTATGTGTTGTTTACCTGTGGAAGAGATGGCACCAGGATGCACTGTGCAAGCCAGCGGAACCAGTGTGATGCTCTGGGCAATTTTCTGCTGGGAAACCTGGAGTCCTGGCGTATTGGACTGTACCTCAAGTTCTTTGAGGGATAGAGGAGGTGGAAATCTATTTTGCACTCAGCACTTTAGAGCTTCCCATAAAAGTTCAATGATGATTAGATTCTGTGATTGGGTCAGCCATGGTAAGCTTTTGACTCTATCCTGATGTTCATGAAACCAATCTTTAAATTGTTCAGCAGTAAGTATGGAAGCATTATGATCTTGGCATACAGACTCATCATGAGGGGACAGCGTCTGCACAATAGGGTGCACCTGGTGTGATTATATAGAGCAATCAGAGTACCTAATGTGTCCCATGAGATTGCTTCCCTCCCCATTACAGATCCCCACCATGTTTAACAGCTGGCGGCAGACACTGTGAGTAGCGACATCCTCTTTTTTGCTTAGGATTAAATGTCTTTGTGCATTGGCCTTGGATGCAAATGTTTTCTGGGTCACAGAAGTGCCGACTCAGTTCCGTTGTCATTTTTGATGCCGTACCTTTGTGTTGTTTAGCAATTGTCCTGATAATGTCTATACCTGACATTGACATTAAAACCGTTCCACTTTGCCAGTGCAGTTTGTCCACGTTTTGGCACATGCGGTTGTGACTTTTGAGACATTAAATAATTTAGAAGTTTTTGTTCCTGATATATCTGTCATTTGAATGCAAAGTGTTCGGTCTCACTGGAATTATGTGTTTGAAAATTCACATATCAAAGTCATCATAAACTGACATTATAATCATATTTTCCTCATTTTGTAACTACTGATTAATGAGCAAATTGACATCATCTTAAGTCCTGCATGTGTGCACTTTACATCATTGCTTATCACCTTTGAAATGTCACACCTTTTCCCAGCCAGAAACTTTGCTATGCACAAGGTTTTGTTCAACCCTACCACTGGTGTGATATACTACGTCATGGGAAGCATAAATAATTTGCAAATATCTACGCACAAAAAACTAGACAACCTTTTTTTCCCCCATTATCTTTACATGATAAACACAATAATGCCAACCAATTAAAAAGAGAAAACATCAGGCCACTGAGTGCAATTGCTTGAAATGAATTGTTAAAAGACAAAAGATGATGCATTGAAGGAGGACGGTATTACATGCTTTAACCACACTTCTCTGTATTAAGCACTTATTTATTATAAGTGATTCCGCATGAAGGGGTGAGGAAGATCACTGGCTATGGGAAGGTGAAAGGCCTTGGTAATGCCACAGGGCATGGCGGGCAAGGAGGCCCAGGAGACATGGGTGCAGGCAGATACCCCTTACGGGGCAATAGTCCCAACAGGGGGTCATTCTCCAGGGTTCATATGCAGGAGCACGAATCTGTGGCTGGCCTGCTAATCATCTTTCACCTTGGTTTCTCCCCTGTGTGAGGAAGACTGCCCTGCCCCCCCCCCCCCCCCAGGTTGGGGCAATTATTTGCCAGCCGATACTGTTGGCAGTCCTTGCAGCCAGTGATAAGAAATCTATGTCTCCCGATGGCTGCCATGGTGCTGATCGCCCCTGCTGGTGCGAGACAGATTCCCAGTGGGCTGTTGCAGCACGTCGGAAAAATGAGTTATACCTGGTCTTTAATAGGTTTGACAGCAGAGTCCACAGCCCGGGGGGTGGGGGCTTCATCAAGTATCATCTATTTTGGTTCCCCTGAGCCCCTCCCCCGAGGAGTCCAACTTCACCCTCCCCTATCAGCATCTGCCTTTATCTCAGGTCTGCCCATCTCTTCTGAAACGTAGCTAGGATAGCTATGCTTGGGCAAGGCAGCAGCCCCTCATGGAATCAACCCCAGAGTGAGTGAAGCATGTATTCTAATTGGTAGATATTCTGTAGCACGTTTAATCTATCTTGGTGAATACAAAATGCCCCCCACA